TATTTTAGGTGGTGGGCGGGGCTAAGCGCCGCAATGAGAAGACATCCCGACGTATCTGACGGGATCCTCCCCACTGATGACTGACAGTGAGTCTTGAGAGCTGCTGCGCGTCCACGAATATATGGACATGCGCAGCAGCAGCTCTCTCCTTACCTGCACGTCCCCGTGTGCCAAAACAGAGCGGAGAGAAGCCATATACAGCATGCAGCAAAGTGTATGAACCTGGAATAGCGTAGGAGGTTTTGCTTCGATCACAAAGATATGTATGCAGTGTCCCTGCTATCCTTCCCGCTCGCTGCGAGTTTGACAAGTAAGCAAAGCAGCGACCACAAGAGATAAACCATCATAAATGCATTTCGAGTAGAAACCTTATTTGTTCCCATGTTAATAGTAAACAGAGAGAGAGAGGGGGGAAGGAGCTGGCACACGGGGACGTTCAGGTAAGGAGAGAGCTGCTGCGCATTTCCATATATTCGTGGACGCGCAGCAGCTCTCAAGACTCACTGTCAGTCATCAGTGGGGAGGATCCCGTCAGATACGTCGGGATGTCTTCTCATTGCGGCGCTTAGCCCCGCCCACCAACTAAAATAAGGTTTTACAGCCTTACTGTGCATTTTGGCTAATTAAAGTAAATTACATTATTTACTTATTTAGCCTAAGGAATGCATTCATAAAAAAAAGATAGAACCCCATAGTTCTCCTTTAAAATAATGCTAAGGACAGAGATCCCTCAAAGAAAAAAGCCCTGCGTAAATTGTCGGCGCTATATAAATACCAATAATAATAAATAGAAAATAGGATGTGTAAGAATATCAATTAAATATTCCATGAAATCATAATTGCAAATATATCATAATGCAATAGTAATGAACTTGAAGCGGGAATTGAGACACAGCATGGCCTTGTCTGGCAAAGCAGGAGACCTGATTTTTCTCTGCTGTTGTTAAAGTAATTATTAAAGAAGAACTATGAGGTGAGTGATTTTCACTCATCCTCATAGTTCTAGCCAGTGGCGGAGGTAAGGAACAAAGGGCCCTGGTGCAAGATTTTATTTTGGGCACCCCCCCCCCAAAAAAAAACCTCACAAATACAGCACTCTCCTCCCGCAAGACACAATACAGTCCTGCCCACTGGATAGTGGAACAGTACCCCCCCGCTCGACTTACCCAGCCAGGGAGTTTCTATTTGTGTGCACTGCAGGGGGCGGGGCCTCCTTCTGTGACTCACCTCCCCTCCCGCTGCCTGTTACTAGGGACGCGGCCGGGAGGGGAGGAGGCTCTGCCTCTAGATAGGCAGAGCCAGCTGTCACTCACGCAGCTGGGCGGATCCAGACATAATTGTCGGGATCCGTTTCAGCTGCGGCGTCTCAGTATACCGCGAGCTGCAGCTTGGAGAAGAGGGGAGCAGGAGAGTGGCTTGCCTTGCTGTGCCTGTGTGTTTATGGAGACAGTACATACTAGCACACACATAGGTGGCTCCATAGGACCGTGCTAGGGAAAGGAACCACCCCAAAACAGGAAGTCAGGACCAGTGTTCAAGGAACCAGCTGATTCTGCAGGAAACTAGAACTTTTAAACATCAAGAAGCAGCATTCATTGTAAGTGATTTAATTTGAATTAGCTTAAACACCCTTGCCTTTAAAGGAGAACTATGGGGTTAGGGCTTTTCCCCATAGTTCTCTGAAGGGTAATGGGAGGACGCAAACCAGCGTCCTCCTGTTACCCAAAGCTCAGTATACCGCGAGCTACAGCTCGCGGTATACTGAGACACTGCAGCCTGGACGGATCCCCACAACACTGTCTGGATCCACCCAGCTGCGTAAGTGACAGCTGGCTCTGCCTATCTAGAGGCAGAGCCAGCTGTACCCGCCCCCTCCCCCATCTGTTCCCCCAGTCAGCGCTGAAGGATCGGACAGGGGAGGAGGGAATCCCTGCAAGGAGCCGTGAGTGACAGTCACGGCTCTCTGCAGGGACAGGATCGAGAAGTGAGCGAGCAACGGTATGTGTTCGCTCACTTCCTGATCTATTGAGCCGACCTGTGACAGTAACATTGTCACACATCAGCTTGAACTATGAGGCTGAGTGATTTTCACTCGCATCATAGTTCTCCTTTAACTATTTTTGTGAGAATCTATATTGTCAGCAGTATCGTGAATATTTGATTTGAGCTATATCTAAAGCATATTGTGGATCCTAAAGCTGTAAAACAAAAACGTGATTGCTTTTTCTCTGAAATAGATTTGGCAAATTAGATATAAACACAGTTTTCCTCTAGTTCTTTAAGGGCTCATTCTCACAGGCTTGCACCCTTGTGTAGAGACTAACTCCCAGGAGGGACAGGTGCTGCGTGAAATTGCGTGCAGCTGGATTCCACACAAGGCCATTGAGGCCATGGCCTTGGGGTGGCAGGAGGTAGAGGGGTCTACTCCAGGCGTCTTAAAGTGCCAGCCCGAGCTGGAAGCAGTACCATTAGGCCCGCAGCCGGTTGTCAAGTCAGGCACTGACTTGTGGGAAGAGCTACACAGTCTGCATCCCTGTCCGATGCCGACCGCATAGCTGGTCCTGTCAGCTCCGACACTCACTAATTCCTTTCAGCTGGGGCTCTGGCCGAAAGGAAGGATTAGATGGTCTGGTGCGGACCTTACTAATCAACCACTGGATCACCAGGGAATGTGCGGGTGACAGGGCTCTGTCTTTTATTTTATGCGCGGG